GGGAGGGGAGGGGAGGGGGGCCTGATAGGGAGACAACGCCCCCCCTCACACACACACAAGGGGCCGGGGGGCTTGGTCTGGATTAGGGCCCCCCTTCAATCCCCATCGCCATCCAGCCCCCCCCACAAACACACCTCCTTTCCTTGAGGCTTCCCCGGCCAAAGGGGCTGGGCTAGATGACCCTTGGGGGTCCCCCTTGTGGCTCTCCTCTCAGGACCCCCTCCCCTCTTTCCGAGGGGCTGGAGCAACACACACACACACACACACCCTGCCCTTACCCGCCCTGCCCCTCCAGCAACCACAAGCTCCTTGGAGGAGGGCCAGGCCCCCAGAAGGACCAGCCCAGGGCGGCCACAGGGGGAGGGGGTGTCTCAGAGGCCAGCCCTGCCCCCCCCAAAGCCCCAGGGTCTCCCTCCGAAACCCCAGCCCTGCCCTTGAGAGGCTTTGCCTCCCTTTGAAGTTAAGGTGGCTTTTTGGGTGGGGGGCAGGAAGAGAGGGAGCGGTGCCCCCAAATTAGTTAACCTCAGAGAGTGCAGGCAGGGGCCCTTCTCTGTGTGTGTGTGTGTGTGTTGTGGGCGGGGGGGTTTATATCCATTTGGGGAGGGTCGCTTTGCCCTCCTCCTCCTCCTCTGAGCCCCTGCTGCTCAACCCCCAGCAAGACCCCCTGGCCGTGGGAGGAAGATGTGGGCGGTGGGGCACCTCCCACAGAAGTGGATGCCCAGGAGGGTGAGCTGGAAACCAGCCGCCCCCCCCCCAGTGTCCAGCTTCTCTACCGCCCAGACCCCTCACCGAGTGGCTTTCTGCCACACACACACACCCCAGTGGCTCCTTCCAGAGCCGGGTTAGGGTTAGCCTTTGCACCTGGCCTGGTCTGGTCCGGCCGGGTCTGGGTCCGCCTTGCCTTCTCCTTTCGGTCCGCGTGGCTGAAAGGACCGGCCCTCCTTTCCTCTCCCAGTCCCAGGCGTATTGATGCTGCGGCTCTGCGTGTGCCTTCACTTGAGGATCCGCCAGCTGCTGCTGCTTCCCTGTCTAGCCCCAAAGAAGGTGTCAAGGCTCCTCCAGCATTCGCTCACGCAAGCCGCCGTGAGGATGAGGCCCCCCCTTTGTGGGACAGCCAAGGAGAAAGGCCTGGCTGTGGGCAACCGGGTGCCTGAGTGAGGCAGGCCTTTGCTTCTGACATTTCTGTCCTCGGGAGTCAGAATCCTGCCCACCCAGACTCAGGAGGCCTCTTCACTCTTTCTTGGGCAGACAGATCTGGGGATGCCAGAGATGTCCACCACCATCCCAGATGTAAGAGGAACCTCCCCCCCCACCTGAGTAATTGAATTTTCATTGAGATGTCTGTTACTCTTGCTGAAGAATGCTGTGTAGCTTGAAAGTTTGTGTACTTCCCAAATGATATGGCCCCACTAAGCCACCATACAAGTAATACTAGAGATGATTCTCTCTTGCACTGTGCTACTGCGTCTCTTACCTGCAGTGCACCTTTGAAAGTTGTGTTCTGCCAGAAACCTGGCAGATTTCATTCCATACATTGTATATTTAAGATTCAGGAGCATTTAAAAATGGCAATACAACCAAGAGTTATTTGAAACCCTACATAAGAGGTGGAGAGATTTACTGGGACACCAGCATTGGAGGGAAAAACGACGGTGCTGGTAGGGCAGATATGATTTTATTGCCACGTAATGTTTGACGTGTCTCTGGTTTTGTTTTTGAGTACACAAGAAAGGCGGGGGCCGGGGGGGGAGCGACAGCAGGTGGGCAGGGTGCGTGAAGAGGTGGCCGCTCCATGTCAGCTGCTGCTACTGCATGCACCAGCTTTGCAGCCATGAAGACTGTAAGAGGAACTTTTGCAGGTGGTGTGTGTGCATGTCTGTGTGTTTATGTGTGTGTGGAGAGACTTTATTAAATAGGAGAAAACAACAGAGTGCTTTGAGGTTTCTCTTTTGACAGCAGCTAAGAGCAGAGGACAGCTTATACAGAAAACACTGTTGAGGAGACAACTTTTTAAGGATTACAATGGTTAAAGATTGTGATTGTGTGTTTCTGATTATTGCTATGCGATCCTGACTTTCAGGCTTCAGTAAACAGGGAGAAAAAGATAGTGGCATGTCTCTGGTAAGGCTGATGGGAGTTACTGTGGGGGGTCAGAAGACGTTTATCTGTGGCTGCTCTCCGGGGGTGTGACTTTTAGGGACGCCTCCAGAAGATATGTGGCCCTGTGAACACTTTTTTTCATAGCTTTTCAAAACCTGGTTACACCTGAATTCCTGATGTGTTTCTTCTGTAGTCTTACTGAGTCAAGTGGGACTAGAGGAAGAATATGAAAGGAAAAAAAAAATCCCAGAGGGCCTGTGTTAAGCTACTTTCCTACTGAGGTCCATCGGTGGATTCTAGTCAGCGCCCGGGCTAAGCAGGAGAAGCAGCTAAAAGGAGGAACTTGCGTGCCTTCGGAATCTCTTGGCAGAAACTGTCGTGCCAGGAATTATTCCTGGATCTTATTCATGTCGCTGAGTTCATGATAATCTGACCCGCATCTTCTTTCTCCCCTCCTTCTTCCTGCCAGCCGAGCCAAAGATGTGACCATGCCAGCCAAGCTGCCGGTCAACTTCTTCTCTTCCAAGTCTCCAGTCCACGATTTTTTCCTCGGGCAGCTGGATCGGGCCGAGAACATCCGGCAAGATTCGGAAATCGCCTTGTTTTTTTTTTACGCTCCGTGGTGCGGGCAGTCCGTTTCAGTGAGAGATGAGATTGAGGATGTGGCAAGCAGGCTGGCTGATCAGGTAACGCGAGGGGGCTGTCAGGAGGGCCACCTCGGCTTCACATCCAGTTGTCCTCTTCCCTGGGGGGCGGGGGGGTTTGCCTGGGAGAGTGACCTGTAAGGGATGGTTTCCTTTCACTCCAAACCATCCGATCCTTTGGAAACAGTCTGCTGGGAATGTTAAGCCCTGTTGAACGAAAGGACATTTCTTGGGGTTTGCATAAACCTTCCTCCTTTGACGTCGCTCCCTCCCATCCTGTCACCACTCCTGTTGGGACTTCCCCCCCCTTCCCCCATTGCCTCCAGCAGCCCAGTTCTATCAACAGTCCACCTTTCTGGA